CAGAAAACGTGTGCTCACACAACTCACATGTATGCACGTGTATTCACACACACTCACACCATCTCACTGCAGCAGAGGCTGTGCTCGGTCGTGTCCAGCTGCTTTTGTCCCCAGCTTTGAGTTTGGGGAGTGCCGAGGGCCGGTATCCAGCCCCAAGTGATGATGTGGCAGGCGGATATCAACCTGAGGTCCAGTGCTGCTAAACAGAAGACACTGCTGGGCATCTGGGCAGTTCCTTAAAGCAGCGCCTCTCTTACAGGACGCAGGGTGTAAAGGAGAACTTCTTTTTCCGTATTCACAACACTCTGACACCAAATGTGTGGGTTTTCCTCACCAAGCAATTCTCCAGTTTTCTGCAAACATCACTTGGGTATCCTACAATTTAACTCAATTCTGACACTATCTACGTGGAGTTAGCACAGACTCCACAGGCTGAGGGCTCAGTCCCACAAGATTGCCCCCACTGTAGATGCCAGTCACAAGTCCACATTGTCACCTGTGCTCTGATCCACTGGCTATAAATCGGGGTTCCCACGGCCCCCTCCTCCGCTTGCATAATTTGCTAGAATGGCTCACAGAACTCAGGGAGACACTTTACAGAATGTTTATGGTTTATCGTAAAGGATACAGCTCAGCAACAGCAGACGGAAGAGACTCACAGGAAAGGAGTAGGCGGGGACGAGAAGCTTCCACACCACCTGGAGCGCCAACCGCCCTGCCCCTCCCCCCCCAGTGGTCACCACCCCAGAAGCTCATCAAACCCTCTCATTTGGGGTTTCTTATAGACGCTCCCTTACGTAGGCATGATTGATTAAGTCGTTGGTGGTTGGTGATTAGCTCAGTCTCCAGCCTCTCCCCTCCCCAGAGGTCAGAGGTTGGGGTGGGCTGAAAATTCCAACCCCTTAATCACATGGTTGGTTCCCCTGACAACCAGCCCCCACCCTCCCAGAGTCACCTGTGGGTGTAAACCCGGGTCAGGTTGAAAGGGGCTTGTTCTGAATGATGACAGGTGCTCCTCTCACCCCACCACTCAGGAAATCCCCAGGGTTTTAGGAGCTCTGTGCCAGGACGAAGACCAAATATATGTTTCTTATTATATGACAATATTGCAGGATGGCCCCGGCCCAGGAGTCCCATGTGAAGCCACCAGGAAGCCTGGTGCCTGTAGGGTGGGCAGGGGGGGTACCTAGGCAGTGCGATCTCAGGTGGCCACTGGTCATCGCAGGTGGGGGTCAGGGACAGGGATGTTCATCGAGGGACACTGCTTCTCTACCCTAAGACACAGAAAATGTTCAGCTGACAAACCAGGAGGAGGTGAGGCAGGGAAGGAAAGCTCAGGCTGTGAGACGGGAAGGCCTGCTGAAGGAGGAGGCTGGTCACAAGGTGGAATGCCAAGGCGGCTGCCTAGAGGCGTGCAGGTCTTCCCACTGAGTGGCACTTTCCCAAGGGCGCTGTCCAGACCAGCCAACCCTACACCACTTCCAGTCCCTAAACTGCAAGGCTGCCCTCCCAGTCTGGCCACTGACCACACCCACGCCCCAGGCCCTGGTCCCACCCTGCACACCCCATGGACGGCAATCCTAGGCTGAAGTCCTGTCAGGGCCATCCTCTGAGCCCCAGGCAGAGTGACATCGGGTATAGGGGTCTCAGTTGTGAAAAACTGCCCGGCAAAGGAGACAAGTTAGTCCTGCCTGCGGAACAGGGCCCCTCTGACACATGGGCCCCAAGCTGACAGCCGGGGAAGCACCTTGGTCAGCAAATGGGTCTCCGACTTGCTTCACGGGTCACTGACCCCTCGTAACATCCATGGCCCCCGGGCTAGCGCTGGTTATCTCAGTGTCACAGAGAAGCCTTGAGCATCACAGGGCCCCTCTGGGAGGGCGGCCCAGTCCCCGCAGGTGGGGACCACCCCGCCCACTCTCAGCCCCGCCCCCATCGGCTCGCGGATGCCCGCGGTTGCCATGGTCTCCATGGCGCAGGCCCTAATCCACGTTGTCCTCAAACCCGCGTCGCTCAACCCCGCTCCTTCCCTTCGAGTGCTGGGCGCTCAAGCGACCCCGCGAGATGCCCCACTGTTGCGGACCCCGCCAAACTGGCGCTCCTGCCCTGGCTGCTGGTGGTGGCGGTGGTGGCGGCGGCGGCAGCGCAGCGCAGCGCATGCGCTGTTATGTCTCTGCACTCGGGATGGCTGCGTCACAACCTCCTAAGGCTCGAAGACGCACAGTGCCCCAACAGCGCCGCTGGTGTAGTGGTATCATGCAAGATTCCCATTCTTGCGACCCGGGTTCGATTCCCGGGCGGCGCACGGCGTTTTTTAGCTTTTCTCCATCTCAAAAAACTTAACCCCTGTTGACAGTAGAGATTTCAAAAAGAAAAACAGAAAGAGGGGGAACCATCCGTCCCGGTGTAGCGTGTCGACTTTAAAAATAAAACAGCCAGTTATTTTACCAGCAAAACGAATTTATTCCGGAAAAAACAAAGAATTGCAATCCAGGACCTGCATACGACGGTGGACCATAGGCAAGTCAACAATCAAAGGAGAGGGACTTTATTTTACAGGGTAAGGAGGAAAGCAGGAAGGGTTGTTTTGAATGAAAGTCCATCAGAGGAACGCAAGAATTCAGGGTGTTGATGGTTTCTCACTGGCTGAGTTGTTGGGGTCCTCGATTTCTGTTTGGGATAGGATGCTCATTTTCCTATTGACACCTTCTGTTGGGGTCTGTAATTGATGGGAGTGGTACTGCGTGGGAGCTCCCCCTTCTAGCCTCCTGACTCTGCTTTAAATGAAGTTTACTTTTATAAATTTTCACAAGCACGGATGAGACAATTTCAGAGAGTGATAAGCACTATGAAAACGCTAGGATGGCCAGCAACCAGGTGCTGAGCAGAGCCGTGCTTGTAACCAGCGACTCAGGCTCGCGCTTCGACCTGGTCCTGATGGCTCAGGGCCCTTTAACACGGGGAGCAGGTCCTTCTGGGAACCGTAGTCCGTTGGGGCGGCAGCTTGGCTTCCGGACCACAGCTTCCGGACCACAGCTCCTGGCAGGCTGGCGGTATGGATCCGATGGTGGTGGCCACTGCTGCCGAGCGGAACAAGGATCCCATCCTGTGTGTGCTGCAGCAGTACGTGGACCCGGCCCAGTGTGGCCTCCACGTGCTCGAGGTGGCCTCGGGCTCCGGCCAGCATGTGGCCCACTTCGCGCGCTCCTTCCCCCATGCCGAGTGGCAGCCGTCAGATGTGGACCAGCGCTGCCTGAACAGGTGCGGGGAGCGGCAGGAAAGTGGGACCCGGGGTCAAAGTGGGCAGGCCGCCGGGTCAGGCCGAGCTGGGTCGGTCCTGCCGCCCCCACTCCCGCACAACCGTGTCTCTCTAAGCCTCCCCCAAGCAGGGCTGCAGGGGGCGTCAGAAATGGGTGCACAGGCCACTGCCACCCATAGCTGCGCTTCCACAGCATCTCAGCCACCACTCAGGCCCAGGGGCTGTCCAACGTGAAGACCCCGCTGTACCTGGATGTGACCTGGGATTGGGAGCAGTGGGGTGGGATCCTGCCACAGTCGCTGGACCTGCTGCTCTGCATCAACATGATCCACATCAGCCCCCTGAACTGCACTGAGGTGGGTAGGCAGGTCGAGCCACCCAGGGGCCACCCAGCTGCGCCATGCGCACTCTCCCCCTGCACTGGGAGGGAGCGAAGTTCAAGGTTTGCCCATATCACAGACTGGGCACTGAGGTACAGAGGTCAGGCTGAGACTCAGCCCAGGGCCCAGGGCTCTCTGTGGGTCTGGGGAAGCCTCCTCACTGCCATGCTGGCTCCTCTCCCCCAGGGGCTCTTCAGAGCAGCAGGACACCTGCTCAAGCCCAAGGCACTGCTCATCACCTACGGGGTGAGTGCTCCTGCCACAGACTGGCCTCCCCTGCAGGATGCTCCTAGCCAGCCTCAGCTGTCCTCTCTTCTGGGCTCCCTCCCTCCAGTCTCAGTATTTCAGTTGCCCTATCCCTGGCTGCTTGTCACCCTTGAAACACACCCAGGCCCTCCCCTCTCCAACACCCCCCTGGTCACCTGCCAGTCTTCCTGCACCCACTAGGCTCACCAGCTGGTCCTTAGTTGTCCATCCCCCCTCTTGGGGGCAGGGAGGGGGATGTCCTCTTCATCCTCTGTTGCCAGCCTGCCAGTCTGCCCAGTGGCTGACTGGGGAATGGCTGACCCTGGGTTGGTGGCTGGTGGGCAGAGCCATGTCCCCTTGTCTCCACAGCCCTTTGCCATCAACGGGAAGGTCTCTCCCCAGAGTAACATGGACTTTGATCAGACCCTCAGATGCAGGTCATAGCTGGGTGGGTGAGGGGCCTGGCTGGGAGGGTAGGTGGGCTAGGCAACCCCTAGGCCACCACTCCGCCTCCTTCCCCACTGCAGGAACCCTGAGTGGGGGCTGCGGGATACAGCCCTTCTGGAGGACCTGGGCCGGGCCAGCGGCCTGCTCCTGGAGAGGATGGTAGGTGGGGAGGACTAGGGGTGCAGGCGGTCTCCCTGGGGGCCAGAGGCAGCTTCTCTAGTCAGAGCATCTCCCCCAGGTGGACATGCCAGCCAACAACAAATGCCTGATTTTCCGGAAAGAGTAACCCCTCCTTCTCCCACATGCCTGTGTTCCCACTGAGGCCTCTTCTGGGACAGTGCCTGGGCTGGCCCGGTGGTGCAGCGGTTAAGTGTGCACGTTCTGCTTCTCAGCGGCCCGGGGTCTGCCCGTTGGGACAGTGCCAGACCTCTAGCCCCTGCCTCCCTGGGCCAGGGCATGGGGACTGGCCCTGCCTAGCCTTGGGGCTCTTGGCCAGTGGCCACAGGGCTGCTGAAAGGCTGAGAATAAAGCATTTCCTGTTGCCCGTTGCTGGTGTCCACCGTGCCTCCTCTGGGTGGTGCTGGGTGGGCAGGCTGTCTCTGTGGGTTCCATACTGGGGGCAGGAGGTGTCTGGCCTGTGGGCTCAGGGCTTGGGGGTGTCCTGGACCCTGCTGCTCCTCTCAGGCAGTGGAGTAGGGAGGGAGGATCCAGGGACTGCTGAGGCAGCACTGAGCCGGCTACCTGGCCTCTTGCCACAAGAGGTGGCACCCACCTCGGGCTGGTCCTGGCTTATGTTCCTACAGGGACCCAGAAAGCTCCCCAGGAGGGAAATGGTGCTCCTTGGTGACCTGAGACTGGAGCCAAAGACCCACTGTGGTGGCGGAATCCCAGCTGGAGACAAGGCTGGGTGGGGGGAAGGGTCAAGGCTCCACGTGGGGGCACCTGCGGGGGTCAGGGCCCCCAGGAGGCCCAGCACCAGCAGTCCCCAAGGTCCAGGGACACGCTTGTATTCAAGGACAGGAGGGCAGTGGGGGCAGAGTCCAGGGCAGGGTGGGGCTAGTCCTGGAAGCGGTTGAGCAGCTCGCAGGCCTTCTTCTCGAGCAGCTCCAAGATCTTCTTGACACGCTTCTCGCTGGCAGCGCGGACGTAGCTGCCGGCGTCCAGCACGGCCACACCGTCTCGCACCTCCCCCATGATGACCAGCGGGCCGTCACCGGCCGTCACGTTGGGGCAGGGGCAGGCCCAGTCCATGCCGCTCAGCGTCACCTCCAGGTACTTGGTACCCAAGAACTTGAGGCCCATCTTGTCGTCCTTGAGCACGTCGTCCAGGGCCACACGGGCGATGCCACCGCTGCCCGCCTCGGGCTCCTCCAGCACCTCGGTGAGCCGGCCCACGATGGCGAAGTCGCTGCGGCACAGGCTCAGCGCCAGCTTGCTCCGGAGGCGGCAGGCCGGGCAGGGTGGGGTGCGGGGCACTGGGCAGGCCTCCTCACAGCTCTCGCGGCTCTCAAAGCTGTTGCCGTTGCCCTCGCAGCCGCCGTACTCGAAGGGGTGGCACTGCTGCAGCAGTGGGCTGTAAGCCCAGCGTGGCTCCCAGCCCTGGCAGGGGCCCTGCACGGCTGGCAGCACGCAGGCATCCCCAGGGCCCCGGGCGCAGGCCTGCTGGCATGCCTCATAGGTCTCGAAGCCCCGGGCGCCCCCATCACAGCTGCCGACTGGGAAGGTCATGCAGCTGCCCCGCTGGGGGTCAAAGTGCCAGAGGACACGGCTGGAGGGGGGGCCGGCACAGGCCTGCGCCTCGGGCAGGCACTCCGCCGGGGCAGGGGCACTGGGGGCCCTGTCCCTGGCCAGCTCCCGCTGGATCACAGAGAGCGGGAAGTCAGCCCGCAGCAGGCCGGCGGCATTGCGCGCGGTGCAGGTGTAGAGGCCGGCATCTTCGGGCCGGGCGTTGTAGAGCACCAGCTGCCCGATGCTGGTGACCACCACATTGCCGTACATTTGGTCTGGCCGCATGATCAGGTTCTCCCGCTGGTCACTCTGCTTCTCCCAGGTCACCACGGGCGGTGGCCGGCCGCTGACATCGCAGTGGAGGCTGGCCGTGCCCCCAACATACACCGCCTGCGGGGAGGGGCTGCTGTAGAGGGCGGGCGGCACAGGGGCGTCCCCGGGCGTCGGGCGGGCGGTGGTCTCGGGTGGCCCTGGGCTGCTGGGTGGCCAGCTGAGGACGTGCTTGCAGGGCACGACGTGCAGGCGGAGGCCGCGCAGGCAAGCCTCGGCATCCATGTAGCAGCGGTTGTAGTAGGTGAGGCCGTCAGAGGCGCAGGTGAAGCTGGGCTCCTTCTCGCAGCGGTCACGGCAGCGGCACACAGGCTGCCCGTCCCAGATGTCGCAGTCAGAGCCCTGCTGTGGGCACACGAAGCCCTTGCACGAAGCCGCTGGGGCGGGTGTGGCTAGGCTGCCATCGGGGAAGCGGGCCGCCACGCAGCTCTGCAGCCCGCACACGTTGGTGCAGCACTTCTCAGCAGCAGTGCAGTCCTAGGGGGTGGGGGCAGCTCAGCAGGTGCCTTAACGTCCCCCAGCCCTGCCCCGCCCGGGCTCACCCTGTGTCAGCACAACCAGAGGGAGATGGCGAGCCCCCAGCTGCCTCCCCCCGAACCTCACTTTGCCTCCGGAAAGCTGAGCGGGTTTGCCTAGTGACCCCATCATGTGTGTCATCTTGATGAACCTCACCAAGTCCGCAGACCAACGCCCCCCAAAGCAGGTTTTATTCTTATTCCCACTGTACAGATGAGGAAACTGAGGCCGGGAGGCCGTGCACTGTGTTCAAGGCGGCTGCAGGTGGTGCAGGCAGGCTGCGGGGGGCATCCAGATGCGGGCCCCGCCTTTCTGCCTCTCTGGTCCTGAGAACAGCTGGTCCCAGGGTTGGGTGGGCAGGTTTGGGGAGTGAGGGAGTCCTCTCAATCCTCAGACACATGACGGCAAAAACTGGGGGTGTCCCCTGGGACCCTCATATACAGGCACGACCCTAGCAGTAGAGTATGGGGAGCCAGAGGAGGAAGTGGGCTCCCAGGGTTGGGGGCTGCAGTGCAGCTGCCAGGGTCCCCTCTGCAAACAAGGCCTAGGGATGGGCCGGGTCTGGCTTCCCCAGGCTGACCGAGCCCCCAAGATGCCCTGGGCCACCTGTGATGTCTGTCCCCTCCTTGGGCCAGCAGGGGCGCCCATGCTCACCTGGTCCCCGGCGCACTCTCGCTCACAGGTGCTCTGGGCGTCCACCCACAGATTGGGGCTGAGCTGGTTGGGGCACATGCCTGGGTGGCTCCTGGGCCCCGGCGGCAGGCTGGCCCCCAAGGTCAGCCCAACCATGAGGAGCAGCAGCAGGAGAGGCCTCAGGGCCGGCATGGGGACAGCCAAGCCAGGGGTTGGGGGTGTGTGGCCACCAGTCCCTCCTAAGGCCCTGCCGAGCCTGCGGCATCCACCGTCGCAAGCCTGGGGTTGCACCCCTGCCCGCAGGCCCCCAACCGATCCCCTGGCCTTCCCTCCCTGGCCCCCAAGGTTGGACCCCAAAGCAGATGCTCTGTCTCAACACCCTGGTGCAAGGGGCTGGGTGGGTTCCGGGTCTCCGCGCTCTGAGGCTGTGCATGTGGCGCCGGCCCCTCCCCCGCCTGGCCCCTCTGTGGTCAGCGCAGGGCGGGGAGAGGGGAGGGGCCAAGGCCCAGGAGCACGGAGACACTGGCCACAAGGGTCACCAAGGGGCGGAGAGTGGAGGGGAAGGGACATTGTAACCGGAGCCCCTCCTCCCTCTAGGCCCTGGGCTCAGAGATGGAAGGGCCCAGGGATCAAAGCCACCAGACCCTCCCAGGAAGACCCTCCCAACCTGGGTTCAGGACCAGGAAGGAGGGGGCAGGGCTGGCCCATCCCTCTGGCTGCCCCACCCCACCCCAGCTGACCCCAGGCCGAGGTCTCCCCCAAAGCAGGTCCAGGCTGACCGGTCACCTGGAAGTCGCTATGTCCAGGCAAGACCATGCAGAGGCACAGAGACTGCATTCAGCCCAGCAATGGGGGTGGTGGGGGGGTGCTGTTCCCTTCCCAGGAAAGGTTCCATGACCTTCTCCATGACCCTTCTCAGGATCATGACCTGCCAGCAGGTCTTAGGGTCAAATCTAGACCTTTTCTGCTGGGGGTGAGCCCTCCTCTGGTGATCAGTGGCTGATGGGGGTGGGGGAGGCCCATGGGGGGCAGTACTTAGCATTTCCAGAGAGCCCCCCGTCCTGAATCTCGGGTGTCTGGCTCCTGGTCCAGGTCCTTCCTTGACTGGGCAAGGTGGGTGCCAATCCCTGAGCGGTGGGCAGAGAGAAAGCAGTCCGCGTGCACTGGCCTCACACAGGCTGCAGGCCCTGGAAGCATGGCTGGTGTGACCGAGAAACTGAGTGTGTTCACTGGCTTGGTCTGAATTTCACCGGCCATGGACCCGGATGGGGTGGTGCAGTCCCGAGAGGCCGAGGGCGTCTAAACACACCCAGAACCGAGCAAGCGCCCTAGGAGCAGCTCAAGGAACTGCAGGGACTGCACACACAGCCCCTCCAGGGGAGCTGAAGCCCTCCTCGGCATTGGGGTGGGCAGCGAGATCAAAAGCCCTGGAGTCCGCCCTTCCAGACCCTTCCCAGGGGACTGGGGCCCTAGGAGCAGCTGCTTGGAGACTGGATGGAAAAGTCCCGTGACCTCTGTCTGACCTTCTGACTCAGGAGACAGAGTAATAAGAGCCTGATCTGCTCAGAATGAGAACAAGGGATGTCCCAGGTAGGAGGATACCATTGGTGCCCTGCTCAGAGGGGGATGCAGGCATGGGCGGCCACTGGGCCAGACTTTGGACGAGGCTGCAGCCAGAGGCCACGGTCCCCGAGTGTGGGGGCCACGTTCAGAGAGATCCCCTCCCACTGCCCAGCTGACCTCCAGGGCACCTGCAGCACCCCTGGGCCAAGCCCCACACCCCCCGTCAGCAGGTGGCTTTCTGGCTTAGGGTGTGACTCCAGAGCCTTAGTCCTGGAGGCTGTGGTGACTTGTGGGGGATAATCCACCCTGGTCATCCAAGGCATCCCCAGCTCCATGCTCACACCCTCAGATAGCAGAGGGAACTCAGGCGTCAGCGAGTCAGCATGCCTGGCAGGTGTGCCAGGTTCCAGCCCTCGGGGGCAGTGGGGAGCAGGTGTGCGGCCAGCCTTCTGTTGTGCCACATCACAGGGAGGGACAGGCTGAGGAGGGCTGCCCACCTGGCCCACCGAGAAACGCAGCTCAGCCTGTAACTGCAGGGGCCACTGCAGCTTTGCTCGGCCCTCGGCCAGGACGTCAGCAGCGGTCAGCGAGGCCAGCTGTGGGGGATGGACAGGCCAACAAAGCAGCACAGGACCTACTGTGGCCAAGCACCGACCCACCCACACTCGGCCAGTTAAAACCAGCGACTTTAATTCACATAAAACGCAGTCTGTAGGTCAGAGCTGAGTTACATTTACTGTACAAAGAAATGAAAACCGTCCAAAATGAGCCCAGGAATAGTGCGAGTGTCAGACAGCAGCGAAGGGTAGTGTTGATATGGTGTAGAGGGCACCATCCTTGTCCTCAAAACAAACTCCATGTGATTCCGTTCAAAGTCCAAAGAAAGGGGCCTCGTTGGCAGGATGGGATGGGCGGGGCCTCCTCCACCTGACCTGCTAGTGGCCAGGCCTCAGCCAGGGTCCCTGGTGCCCCTGCTCCCACAGGCGGGCCACAGCCCCCTCCCCACCTCGCCTCCCAGAACAGCAGGCATGGGACAGCCCCCGGGGGACGCCCACTGCAGAAGAGTCCCAGAGCAAGGGGGGTCCCAGGCCCAGGGAGGGGCCCCAGGGGCAGGAGGTAGAGTTGAGCACCAGTGTGACTGGTGGCTGTGTCACCAGCCAAGTGGGCAGGAGGCCAGGCCCCGGCTCAGGGCTGGCTGGCGGGTCCTCGAGGAGGGGCATCCACCTCTCCAGCTGCTCCAAGAGGCATCACTGAGAAACCAGTTAGAATGGTTTTGGTGACATGTAACCTCATGGAGGTGCGGCAACGCCAGGCAAGGAGCAGCTATGGGGTCACACCCAGGTTAAAGAACAGAAGCTGGCAGAGTGGGGTCCATGTGCTCCCAGAGGCAAGTGGGCGGTGGACTCAGTGCAGATCTGCAGAGGGCCTGGTGGCCCCGTGACCACTTATCGTCTACAAACAGCTCTGCATCGGCACATGGGAGACGCTGGGCCCGTTTCACGTGGCAACCGATGTAAACGTAACCGAAGGGACAGGATCATGGAGGGAGGGTTGTTTGCCCCCAAGTGGGGAGGGAGGGAGCCAGGACGGATGTACGGGGCGCACCCGCCTCCCCCTCTCTGAGAAACGTCAACGCTCCACTTGGGAACCTGTGAGTTGCCCCCAGCTCTCAGCCCGTGACTCTGAGACATGCAGGGACATCGTCTAGGAAGGCCAACGGGAGCCAGAAGCTGCAGCCACACCATGCAGGCTGCCAAAGCCCACACCCTCATGGCCACCCGGCCTGCATGGTGGGCACACTGACCACTGTGCTCAGAAAGGCTGGGTAGCCGGGGCTCTGAGATGTGTCCCCATTGGCCCCTGCACAGCCCACAAGCCCACGTGAAGTGTATGTGAATCCAGAGTCAAGCCTTGACGGCAGATTCCTTCCCATCTTTACCTCAAATCCCCTCCCTCTCCAAATGTCCCAAAGCTCAGGCCCACAGCTGACATGGGCTCACTATGTGGCTGCATCGAGGCTTCCCTTCTGGCCCTTTAAAAATGTACAAAAAGGGTGAATGTCTTCTATATAAATAAGAAAGGTGAACCAGGCGTCCCGGGGCCCCAGGGATAGCCCCCTCGAGGCTGGGGCAGGCAGAGCTGCCTCCTGGGAGCTTCTAGCCGCACAGCGGGGTCCCAGGTTCGTCCACTTTGCACGCGACACCTGCAGTGCAGCCCCCCACTGTCCCAGGCAGCTCGTATGCAGAGACCACCAGCCTGCTGGGTGCAACCCCTGCTTCCAGGAGGGGCTGTGTGGCCAAAGTCTTCCCTGCACACAGTGCTGTGCCCGGTGCCTGGCAGGAGCGTTCTCCAAGTGCAAGCCCCCAGAGCGCATCTGAGGGGGCGCCCGGCCTGCCCGCTAGGAGATCTTGCAGTTGCTCCGAGAGCAGTTCTGGGGCGGGCTCTGCGGGGGCCGGATGGACTTGGACCTCTTGAGGCTGTTGCCTTTGCTGCCGCTGGCCCCTGCCCCGCTGGCCAGTGAGTAGGAGCGCCCGTGCATCATGACGGCATTCATGCCATTGGCCATGGAGAAGGACTTGAGGTGGCTCTTGATGGTGACGGGCAGCGGGAGCTTGTCGATGAGGTGCACAGGGGTGCAGGAGACAATGGCCCGGCAGCAGAGGTCCTGCAGGCTGAACACTGCGGGCGAGGGGTCAGATGACAGGGCTCAGACCACGGGAATGGGGGGAAGGCGGCGGGGGGGGGGTAGGGGGGTTAGATCGTGGAAGGGCAGGGGCAGCAGGCCTGAGGAGATCCTGGAGCCTAGGCCCCGAGGGGGCGGCACGAGTGACGCTCGCCCGGTGTCAGGGAGTGAGGTCTACCAAGCTCCCAGGACTCCCTGGGTCTGGATGTCGGGCACTGCCAGAAGCGGCCACTGGGCGGCGCCCTGCTCCCACCTTCTCCCTCCAGCTGCCCACAGAAGTGCCCTGGGGGCCCCACTTCTCAGGGCCCAAGGGCTCAGCCAGCTCTGCCCCAGTGCCTGGACAGGAAACTGAAGCTTCCAGCCACCCTGGCCTCTGGCAGCTCTGGCAGGATGTGGCCCCAAGGGACAGGGGAGTGCACAGCCAGGTTCTCCACGGCTTAGCTCCAGAGGGGAGGCCTGGGAGCTGCTCCCCTGCTCGCCCTGGGACACGTCAGAGTCCACAGTGCTTTCCCGCAGACAAGGGCATCACTGGGGGGTAACGCACAGTCCCCTCCTGTAACACCAGGGCCCCCAAACAAAGCAGAGACAGGGCGCGAGCTAGTTCAGCCAGAGTGAATCATGGAAGCAGCATGGACCTTGTTGGCCTGACAACTCGAGGAGACTGGACCCTGGGAGGAACCATGGCTCTGGGGGGAACCTGGGAGGCTCTTCAGAGGCTGCTGTCACTCCCATCTCTACCCTCTCGGCACTTCCCGGCCTCAGGGGCCTGCCTCACCTCGGTTAGGCCTCCAGATCTTCTCCATGCCGTGCCGCATGAGCACGATGCGGGACAGCTCAGTGAAGGACTCAATGACGTTGAAGTTGCACAGTGGGCTGACTTCGAAGAAGGTCATGCAGTTCTTCTCTGCGTAGGCGCGTGCCTGCTCTGTCGGGACTTGCCTCTTGAAGGCCAGGTGCAGCCGGTTCCCAACCAGGATCCGGGGGACCCCTGGCGCATGCTTGAGGGGCACAGGACTCAGCAGAGGCACCAATGCCAGGCACCACCCCCCTCTCGGTGCTGTACCCCCTCTCCCAAAGCAGGCAGAGTCCTCAGCATTAATTCTGTGATGGGGTGGGGCCAGGCCAGAAGGCAGAGCAGGGAGCTCAGCCCCGCGAACCATGGCCCCTCAGGGCAGGGGGCCCAGCCCTCGAATGCCATGGCAGTCAGTGTGCAAGAGGATGCACAGGAGCTGGGGCAACGGGAGGGGTGGCAAGTAGGGGCCGTAGCAGCTGCCTGAGGGGGATGGGAGCACATGCGCCCTGGGAAGTGGGTGACCTTGGAAGGGGGTGGCTGCAGGCGCACACCTACCTCGTCAATCTCCTTGATCCACCGGTCGATGCCGTCGAAGGACCAGCGGTTGGTGATGTCGTACACCAGGAGGATCCCCTGCAAGGGAGACACACGCTCTGCGAGGCTGAGGGGCCACCTAGACGGAAGGGGTCTTGTTCCCTGCAGGGAGTCCCAGCCTCAGAGTGCTCCTTCCCACCACAGGGAGGGCCAGGGACACAGCACCAGCCAGCCAGCTTTCAGGCAGACTGTACAGGTTCCTTCACACACAGCACCATGAAAATGTGCTCTGAGGCTCCCTATCCCTCTGGCAGGGGCACCATGCGCAGGACTCGGCCAGCTCCGCCCGTCTCCTCCCTGTGGCCAGCCCTGTGTGCCCCTGGATGCCCTCCATGTGGGTGGCAGCAATGTCACCTGATGGTTGGGGGTCTGGTGGGTTCAGTGCTGCCCCCTCCCTCCCTTGGAGACGCGGCTGGGACAGACTGGCATTTCTCCACTTCTTTCCTCCAGGCACATCACAGGCATTACCCTGGGGCCATTTAAAGGTCACTACGACAGGTGCATGTGGGGCTAGGGTGCAGGATGGGTCCTGAGGACAATCCTGGTGGGCAGCTGTGGGGTGGCATCTCCAACACCTTGTCCAACAGTGCACTCTCCCCGGGGGGCACCTGGGGGAGTTGAGCAGAGGTGTTTCTGGGTTTTCCAACCCAAACTTGCAGAGTAGGCTATCAGTCACTCCAGCAGCTGGTGTGGAGGCCTCACCAGCTGGGCAGAGGATTTGCTACAGGGACTTTCCCGTCACATCCCTTAGAGACCAATTACTTGGAGCTCAGCTCTGGGCTGTCTTGGCTGCCCAGCTCTCGGGCTGTTCCTGCCCTGTGTATCTCAGCAGTGACCTGCCGTGAGCCTCAGGAAGGCACCTCCACTGACGCAGCACAGCCCCCAGGCCCACTGCTTGTCTCGGGCCCTACCCTCCACGCTGAAGCAGGCTTAGGAGCCGGAACCCATCCCTGAGCAGGACTCACATCCTCCCCGTCCCACCAAGTCTTTTTTCAGCCCAAATTCTGGAAGCCTTAGGGTAGCCCCTGGGTCCTGCTAAGACGGAGGTCGCAATTACTTTAACCCCTGCCCGGTGACTCCTGCAGAGTGGGGCAGAGCCATCTCCACCCGAGGAGGGCCACTCACTGAGGAGGAACAGCCACGCCTGGAGAGAGCTGCCCTGAGGCAGCCAACGGAGATAGACCCACTTGAACTCAACGAGCAGAAACCAGTTTGGAGGGCGACAGAGTTACACTGAAAAGAAACAGCCGCACGGCTAGGAGTTCATCCTGTTGCCTGGGCACAGGGAACAAAGCCCTGTGGCATGGTGTTGGGGTGGGGGCGGGGTCCACGGCCCTCCAACTTGGAAATGCTCCTTCTATGCCCTAACGGAGGATGTGTCCAAAGACCAGTCTTCGTGGATGTTCATCACAGCACTGTCCATAAAACAAAAAACTGGACACAAACTAAACGTGTGTTCCCCAGGACTGCTGAGCACATCGCGGACAGACAGCACGCCAACGATGAAATGAACGGAAGCCC